GGGTTCCTCTGGCTGGCCCTAGCAGAACCTGGGACCAGAAGGGTTCTCCCTACCTTTCTTCTACCAGGAGAAGGAACCCTCAGGGCCCAGCCCGGACATGCCGGCCACTGCAGAGCCCAGCTCCAGTGAGGCTGATAAGGAAGTCTTGTCCCCGGTTGTGGCTGCTGCAGCCACCTCCTTCTCCATGGGGGAGGAGCCAGGCCCTGACCGGGCAGCCACACCCCCAGTGTGGGACCGAGAAGGGCTTGGAGGGACCCAGCAGGGTGCCTCCCCAGTCCCAGATGGTGTCCAGCCTGGCCCTGGAACCAGCCTTGGCCCGACCAGCACAGTCTCCGGGACCAGCGAGGATCTGCGGCTTCCCAGACGACGCCCACTACCAGGTGACCTGTGATGGGGCCTTCTGTAGGGTCACAGGCCCCGGAACAATAGCAGTGAGGAGTGCAGAGTATCTCCAGACTTGAGGCTTATCTAGAAGGAATTACTGTTTACTGAGCACGAGTTTACTGTGTGCCAGGCTGTGGCTACAATGATAAGCCAGGCCAATTCATCTCCTACCCCTTGGCAGCCCAGTCTGATAGAGGAGGCAGAGGGTAAAGGCCCCAGTAGGAAATCATAGGATAATCCCAGCCTCGTTTATGCCTCTGGGACAGAGCCCTGGACAGTGTGGGTGGGGAAGGTACAGATGACCCAGCTGTGTGCATCCTACAGGAAAGCAGATACCCTGCTCCAGCCCTGGCTGCTGCCTCAGTTTCCCCAGTGTTCGAGACCTGGCACAGCATCTCCGTACCCACTGCCCACCTACACAGTCTCTGGAAGGTAGGGCCAGGGTAGGTGGTGGGAGGCAGGTTAGGGTGGGAGGTAGGCTGACCTTGGTCACCCTACTGCACTCCTTTGCCCTCCAACCCTGCCTTGCCAGGCAAGCTGTTTCGCTGTTCCTCCCTGAGCTGCACTGAGACCTTCCCCAGCATGCAGGAACTGGTGGCACACAGCAAGCTGCACTACAAACCCAATCGCTATTTCAAGTGAGACTCTGACCATCCCAACCTCCTCTGGTACTCGGTGACCCGGCTTCAGGCAGCTCTGCTCACCTCTCGTGTAATAGCCAGTACCTAGGGTCCAGGCCTCTCCCCTTCCTAGTCGGGGGTTGGGTCTGGAAGTGGGAGTGGCATGGGGCAAGTCCAGCCCTTACCTGCCCAAGAAGAGACATAGCTGGAGCGAGTCCCAGAGACGCGGAAGGGGTGGGGCTTACGTGGGTGTGGTTCCGCCCAATTCATACCTCCCTAAAGGAAAGCTGACCACCTAAGTCAAAATTGAGACTTCTTCCTCGTTTTCCCAGGGCTCCGACCCGGACGGGTCCGGAAGGGTCGCGGCCACAGTAGGGGGGGCGCTTAGGGCACGCTCCTCCCCCCAGGTGGGGAATCTGTGATTTGGGCCCGGGCTTCCTTACCACGCTCGCGGGGCAGGTCGCCAAGTGGCATCAGATAGGCCCCTCCCTGGTCCCCCAGGAGACCCAGCCCTGTGCCCGCCCCCAGGTGTGAGAACTGCCTCCTGCGCTTCCGCACGCACCGCTCGCTCTTCAAGCATCTGCATGTTTGCGCCGAGCATGCGCAGAGCCCAGCCCAGCCGCCACCCCCTGCCCTCGACAAGGAGCCACCCGCGCCCGAGCGCCCCCCGGAGTCCGACCCCGCGTC